GTCTAGTAAGTACCTAGAAACATTCCCTTCTTCATTCTACATCTAGCCTTTGATTAGTTGATAAAATTCAGGCATGGGTCGATTTCATCAAATGATCGACCCCGTCCTTTCTGGGATAGATGTGGGTCGAAAACGTTTTGTTTCTCTGTGGGTTTTTGGAGAGAAAATAAACCTGTTCTGTGGAAATTTTCAAAAGCAGAGCACAATACGCCGTTCTACGCTCAGGCAGTTTTCAACTTTTGCATTCCCAGTTTCTAGATTTTAAGTAGACTTAAATTCCAATTTGTATTTTCCTTAGGTTTTATTTTTATTTGGGCAATTGAAAACTATGCACTTAATACAGAGAAAGATCCACCAAAATGTAAGTAAGAAATGTGTTCATTAGAAACGAGAGCTCATATATCTGCTGTATATCAATTCATTGATTAAGAACATCGATAAATTAGTCAAGTTTATTACTTGAACATGAAATATTGTATTTGACATATGTTTTTATGTTTTTAGTGCTTCATTCTTGGCGAGGTCATGTTGATAGTATCACTGGTATCGAATATATTGATCCAAGTACGTAAGTATTTGCGAAATTCTTAATAAATAGTCGTACATAAAAAAAATTTTCTAGCAAATGTTCTCATCTCAAGTGCATTAGATGGTGCAATTCGTATTTGGAATTTGAAAGGTCATTTTATGGGTATGATTTTTGACACAAAAAATAATTTTCTTTTATCTTCTAACTTAAACTATTTTTAGGCACATTTGGTCAAACATTACCATGGAATATTTATGATCCAGCCACGTATCAACATCCAAATGCACCATTGGACGTATTAACTGATCCTCGAAGTTTACCACGTCATTCAAGATTAGATAGATATAGTGATGAAAGTGGCGATGATAGCATCGAACAAAAAATAAAAGAAGTTTCAGTAGAAAAGGTACAATATATCTTCTGCTGTTCGTTGATATATTTGATTTTGTCTTCGTTTAGGCATCAGTACCAGTCTACAAACAGGTGATAGATGATGTCACAATTGATAAGAATGTTAAAGAAACATTGTACATATTGGGAAATCCATCAAATATGGCTGGCAAAAGGTATAATTGTGTAAATTTCAAACTATTATATTTTAGCAAATAATGTATTTCTTTGACATAGACTAAGATATTTCCGCGAGAAACCAACTGTTCACAATCGAACACACGGTACAAGTCATTATCAGAACTTACGATTTTATCCTGTTGATGACAATCCACCAAATACAAATGTTCATTTTGCCCATGTTAAATCTTAATTGATTCTTATGGTAGTATTTAATAAACATAACTTTTCTATCATCAAAGTATTAGTGATATTATGCATAATTTCTTCCTGTGATATTTTCTGTAATATTTTCCACTACTCACTCCGCAATATATGCAAAAGAAAGCAGCGTTTTTGATAAATTATTTTTTTTGTTTAAAACCGGTTTTATATGCTTTTATTACGGTGTTTATATTTTATATGATTCATATTTATAATTAATCTCATATTTTATTGTGTGACTACACTTATTTTTCTAGTATGTCTTTTTTTTTATTCTCGTATTCTTATAATCTCATTATGCACAAGATTTAAGTATAATAAAGCTTTGATGAATGATAAGATTTTCAAACTAAATAAACATAAATTAAATATTAAATCTAAGAAAGAGAACATAAAATTTATTATATTTTTTCTCTGTTAAAATAGGAATATTGCTGGATATTGTGGGAGACGACACAGTGTGATAACCGGTATATGTCAATTTTGTCATAGTTACAAGGCATGAGAAAATTAGTAATATAAACATCTGGTTAAACTAGTACACCTATATCTGAGAAAATGCTATAAACAGGATTAAATTCTGAAAACATCTAGCTTTTCTAACATCAAAAACAACAACAATGCTTCGAATGTTATTTACATTGGTTGGATTGTTAATCGCTCAAAAAATGATTCAGGCCAATCCGAGACCGGTAGTGCTAGTTACTCTAACACTAATGTCGATATTTATCTGAATATTAGAGAGATTCGTTCTATTTTTGATTATAGGCTACCATAATTGATCATAATCCAGAAGAATCAGGTATATAATATAATCATTATGTTGATGTTTATTAATTTGATTCAATCTCTATCTTAGACTATTTTGAGGGAGATATTTTGCTTGATCCTGGAATGGTGGGTATCTGTTTTTTATTTCTTATTTATTTTATTCACACCATATACTTAAATTTTAGGAGACACGTGGAATAGGCAGAGTAGAAGCGGCTGCCCGTTGGCCTGGAGGGATCGTCCCGTATGAGATATCTTCTGTTTTTGGTACGTCGTGAATGTATTGTTCGAATAAAACAATTAGTTTTCATAAAACAATTTAGTTTTTTTTGTACAGATGCTAATGACCAGACAAAAATCCTTGCCGGCATGAGACGTTTAGAAAACACTGTGGCTATTAACGGACGATTATGTGTACGATTTCGACCCAAAACATCGATAGATACTGATTTTATTAGTATTCGAACTGGAAGTGGTTGCAGTTCAGCTGTAAGTTAAAAAAATAAGAATAAACAGAGAGATAAGAATATGTTGTGATTGTATTCAAATAAATATGTGTAATATACTTTTTAGGTAGGACGTCGTACAGGTAGTCAAACACTTACACTAGAAAAGGGTACATACTGCATTGATCGACAAGGTACAATTATGCACGAACTTATTCACGGTAAGATATGTGAACTATCACTATTTTCATTGTTAACGAGATCAAAATTGTTTAGCACTTGGATTTTGGCATGAACAATCGAGACACGACAGAGACTCATATGTTACTATTGATTACAATAATATACAAATAGGTAAGAATTCGTTTTATAGAACTACAAATATTTATCGTTGTCACTTTATTCAGGAAAAGAGCATAATTTTAATAAATATACGGCAAGTGCTACCGACACACTTGGTTTACCCTACGATTATGAATCTGTCATGCATTATTCTCGTACGGCATTTAGTACAAATGGAAAACCGACGATTGTACCGAAAAATAGCAATGCCGTTATTGGACAAAGAGATCGTCTTAGCAATATTGACACTGCAGAAATACGAGCATATTATAAATGTGTTTAACAAAAAAAAGAAATGTTTAAAATAAAGTGAATATTTCTTTTCATTCTTTCAAAACTTTAGCAGTTCCTATGGTTTAGCAAGTATATGACACGACAATATCGTAGTTTTAATCAAGTCTACTGCCTAATTTGGCGTAGTTGATCCAAAACGTCACGAATATCATACAATCAAAGCTGATAATCAAATTAACGAGAAAAAATACAATAAAAATATGCACGTCGAATAAGCAAGTGTTTGGAATCATTGATTCACTTTATCTTTTTCGCTAATTTTTTTCTCTCCTAGATGTTTTTATTGTGAGTTGAGTTGTTTTGTCACTATCGCTACCAAGGGGCTCCATTGAAAATATATCAGACTCTTCAGTAATACTGACTACAATTGCTTAAATCCTATTTAAAAAGCCATCTATAAACCCTATCAGCAAACATCATAGTAAAAACATTTTAAAACGCTGCCAAGACGAGGATCGTCATTTTGAGATTTTCTACTACAACAAGACCCAGTGTCAATCAATTTTTTTATTGATAGAAAAACATCCACATTATGCTACTTTAGATCATTACTGTGCAGACCACACCAGTATTAAGTCGGATATTTACATGATCCAGGACATTAGGGCCATTCTAATGAATTACTATAACTATTAATTTGGATATAGACTTTCGAAATGAACGGTTATTCCAGAAGTTCTATCGTAACAGTACAATAGTTTATTTCTCTGCACTACCCTCTAATAATTGTGTCACAAAAAGTGTAGTAGTTCTCTAATAAAAAATCTTCCCAGCGCGCAACACATTATAAAAAGCTAGTTATAAGAAAAATATTGAAAAACGTCTCAAAAACTAAGTTTTTCAATTTTAGAAACCCTATAACTCGGTAAAGAAATGTCTAAAGAAAAATTCCCAAAAAACACCTCTGAAATAGTGTCTTGAGTACCTCTGGTAAAATTTTTCTTTTTTCTCTGGTAAGAGTTTTCTAGAAAACTGGTGAACGACAATAGTTAAAAACCGAAAATATGAAGCCTTAGTAAGTTTTAGTTTTTATGTCACAGCATTTCTACGGAAAGCCCAAAAAGAGGGAAAGAGTACCCTTAACCCTTTCCAGCCTGATGTTGCCATTTGGCAACACTTTTTGCTGTGTTTTCGAAACAGCCGGCTGGAAAGGGTTGATCGTTCAACTACTGTGTATGGACATGTTTCGTGTTGAGTATTATCCAGTAGTGATAGTATCTATCGTGTTGAGTATCTCCTGCAGCCATATTTGTGATTTAACATCGTACGTAAGACATCATGAAAAAAGATTTTTAATTGCGAACTTGAAACGTAAACGTATTTTATTAGATAACTAACCTTATTCAACTCCAAATTCGTCTTTATATAATTCTTTTACAAGGCCACCCAACGTAACTCGGGCGAAAACGCGATCCCGTAACGTTTTGTACCATTTTTTCGTCTTTATCTTGCGAATGAAAAGACGTCTTTCAACTGTGTCATTTTGCGAAGAAAACGCCTAATAAATGTTTAACAAAATGACACATCTTAGAATTCTTTAGGAACTTTGGTTAAGGAGATATTATGAAAATATTCAGCACTACTTTTTTGAATTATCCCAACCACTTTTTCGTGTTCGAGAAATTTTATGAGACAGTGATAACAACAGTTTACTGTACCGCTGACTTGTTCTAACTCAAGGAAGTATTCTTTAGGCAGTAGATTTCACACTTTATTACGACGTTTATTGAAAACTAATGTTGCACAGTTATTACATAAAAAAATTATACTCCACTCAAGAGTGACATCCTTTTCTCACCAAAAATTACTAAGCTCTTGGAATAAAAACCACACACACAAATAACCTAAGAAATATGGAATGAAAAAAAATTATATTTAATAGTGTCTATTCTTTTTCCGTTGCTGTTATTATTTAACTAAGTTGACCACAATCTGTTATGGTTACTTTCTTTGAAGTTTTACCACTTTGTGAACCTGAATAAACAAAAAGAAAAAGATACAGATATAAAACTGTCAATTGACAATAGAGCAAATAAACTTACCATAACCTTCTATTTTTTTGATTATATCGTAGCCTTCGCTGACCTCACCAAAAACAACGTGTTTACCATCAAGCCTAAAATATGTTTCATGGAATGACATCTTCAGTATAGAATAAATCCTATTATCAACTAATTTAAATCATAACAAAACACTTACCAACTTGTAACGGCAGTTGTAACGAAAAACTGACTACCATTCGTATTTTTACCTACAAATTACAAGAACATAAAGCCCATCTATCTATTCAAACCATTTTCTGCACTTACCAGCATTGGCCATAGACAATAAACCTTCTTTCGTATGCTTTAATTGAAAATTTTCATCGGCAAATTTTTCGCCATAAATACTTTTGCCACCAGTACCATTATGATTCGTAAAATCTCCACCTTGACACATAAATCCTGGTATGACACGATGAAATGACGAATTTTTGAATCCGAATCCTTTTTCACCTGTACAGAGTGCACGAAAATTCTCTAAAAGAAAAAATACATGTTGGTCTTACAACGAAAGGGTTTTAGTTTTACGAACATACCAGCTGTTTTGGGTACAACATCATTGTAAAGCGTAAAAGTGACACGGCCTAATGCTTGACCGTCAGCAGCCATATCGAAAAAAACTTTTGATCGACTCATATTTTTTGTTTGTTCTCTTTAAACACTGGCTAGACGTACAATTAATCTAAAATGGTACAACATTAATTCAACAGTTCATCAAATACCAGAAAAGTCAAATAACAATTAAAAGTGACGAGGTAAAAAACAAAAATTTATTTTACAGAATATTTAATTAAGAATCTGAACAAAAGCCATGGAAAAAACACACGAATACACCTGGCATATAGTATATAGTAATTTTAATAAAAAAGACATCGAAAAGAAATAAGACATTAAAGATAATATTTGATGCATACAAAATAGAGAAAACTACCTATATGCTCACACACATACACACACACATATATAACATATATATATATACACATATATATGTATATTACATTGAAAACTGACTTATCGACTAGTTGCTGATATTTTTTATATCTTGACAAGTAAATTTTTGACTTAAGTAAAATGAAAATAAATATACATACATCTCGAAGTAAAAAACGAAAAAAATTGTTTTTTTGTCAGAAAAGTTATTGTTTCAAAAAATCCAATACTTTCTGTGTACCCAGTTGTGTCTCAATTACTTGATGACATTCCGGATCTTGACGTAGTTCATTCAATATTTCTGATGAAGTACGCTGTAGTGGACAGTGTGGTAGATAATGATACTGCAAAATAAAAATAAACTACAAATAAATAGACTATCAAATGATTTAGTGGAAAAAGTAATCAGACACCTTCAACTAAATTTTGTCCAGATAACTTCACCAAAAAATATTTTTCAGTGCTTTCATAGCTCTTATGTACCCCAAGTAGACTCTAATGTCACCAACTCAGCAACTCTTTTACATGTCTCACAGCTTTTTGTCTTTAACGGTATCATAACTATTGAAACATTGATTTCTGGTTAGAAAGGACATTGAAGTTAACGATTTCGAGAAGAAATACTCTTTCTAAATTATTTTATTAACAATATTGTGACGTTTCAACGACGAGGACGTTTTCATCAAATATACATAACGTGTCTAATAAAAATATTCTCGCCGTTGAATTATCAATATTTTTAATAAAATTAATTTAGAAAGAGTAGTTCCTCTTGAAAATCTTTAAAATCATTGAAACAGTATATGATGGATCAAGCCGTATTTGTTTAATGTGTAAAATTGTGAAGTTCTGATTTCACAAAGAAAAAATCATTCACATACTCGAACAAATATTGGTATACAATTGAGATCTTTAATAATTGTCCGATTTATTTGATCTTTTGCTAATGTATATAATGCTCCCAGTATAATGTCAAGAGTATGTTCGATATGATTTAAATTAGTTGTATCATCATGTGATCGGAGTAACTGTTGTCTTTCTTGTTCAACAACTGTTAGAAGTTGAACTAATTTTGGTACAGCCCCATTTTCACGCAACGATGATAAATTACTTGTTGATAGTGCCAGATTTTTTATTAAACCAATCGTTGCTTTAACCGTTGGCCAATCCTTTTTCCAATGTTTTATGTTCAATAATTTGATAAAATACGGTATGCCACATAGCTTTCTAACAGCCTCTCTTGCCTCTACTTCTTGTTCATGACGCGCTGTCACATGCCGTAATGTGCATAGCTATGAGATGAAAAAACATGTTCAATATTTTTTAAAAACAATACCGAACACTTACTGCAGGCTCAATGATTTCTTCCTTTTCACCCGATTGTAGTATTGTTTTAATCAACGTTTGTATACCATTTATTTTAACCAAAAATCTTTTGTTTGTTTGATTATCACACGTCAAATTATTCAAAATTCCAACTGAGCATGTGATCGAGACAATATCATCCGTTAACAATAACTGAATCAATGTTTGAATCAATGATTCCATCCCTTTCTTTAAAGAAAAAATACACATCTTGTGAATGACGATAGTTGTAAACGTTATAATTGTTCCGCTCTTCATAGAGAACAGACATACAAATGTTAAGCGATAAGTCTTCCGTTTTAGACTTCTCATTTAGAAACAGTCTAAAACGATGGTCTAGATATTCAAATATTTTCTTTCTCGGCGTTCATGTTTGTTTTCTATTAAATTAACGAAAAATTAAGGAAATAGGATATTATCCAAAGAAATTTTGCTCTAATATATCCATTCAATTAGTATAATGTGAGACAAGACGTATGTGCATTATTGGTTGATGATAACTTTACTTACCAATCTGATAGCTTGATCGGATATATTTCTCACTGTCAGAAGACAATTACGTCTAATACGAATACTTTTTGTCTTATTAATTTGTTTTTCTAATATTTCAATTCCATTTGCTTGTAATATTGTTTTCTTTGTAGATATAGTACCAGATGAGATGATTGGAAATAATTTTGATATTGTCAATAAAAGTTTATCGTATTTTGTCGAATCCATAATACGTAACAAGTGTTGAGAACATATTTCACTTCTTTGTAGAAAAGCCTAAACAAAAACAATCATAATCAAAACAACTCATTCGAAAGACTTCCTTTATGTCTATACTTTCGCTTCTTGATTATAACATGCCATTTTATGTAAACAATCGGTTAATAATGTTAGTAATTTATCATTGGATCTGTCTAATAGTGAAACGAATTTTTCGGTCCCATGAAAATTTTCTATTTCTCTAGCTGCATCTGCTTGTAGAATAATGAGAAAATTATGTAGTGTAGTGATAACAAAATTAACGATATTATCCCTTGAACTAAAAGACAAGAAAAATCAACACAAATATCCAGATAATTACCAGACGCAACACTTACTCAAGAACCTGTAAAAGTGCCTGAATTCCTCCAGCTTCAAGAATTGCGAATAATCCATCTTGTTGTTGTGATAAAAAATGAAAAAGACTAGCCAGAACATAAGTCAACTGTCCATCGCCTGAATCTTTGGAAAATGCGCGTAATAAAGCAATAATTATCTTAAAATAACAGACCTTAGTATAAAAATATCTTATATTTGAAAGTTAAACTTACTTCCCGATTACGAATTATGTCTAATCTGATATCTCCTCCTTCTTTAACCAGAGTGTGTACAAACATAACGGCTTCACTAACAATAAGACGATCATCATCATTCAACAAACTTATTAACTCCGATATCATTTCACCAGGTTCTCGACGATGACTCATCATGGTTATATTCGGATCAATTTCTTGTTGTTGCTGCTCTTCCGGTAGCCGTGGTGGTACTGGTGGTTGATGTTGTTGTGAATGATGATGATGTGGTGTACCTTGTGTTGCGACACTATGTTGAAAACGTTGTTGCTCGCTGTTTGTCATCATTGTTGTAAAAGACTGTTCACTGTCATTGCAATCGCTTAAACCACTTCTTAATGAATTAGATGTGCCTGAATGTATGCCTGAGTCACGGTTTAATGCGTATGGGTCATCCAACCACATAGTTGTATTAGTATCTGGATTCAATTGTTGTTGCTGCTGCTGATGTGGCGTATGCATCTGATGATATTCCATTTGTATTTATCTTTTAATCTATAACTTGATAAATTTAGATGTTTTTTAGACACAAGAAATAAGAGTGATACAAAACGAGGTTCTACCCAATGTATTATAAACACTGAGTTACGTCGGTTATGTTAGTTGTTTTTCTAACTGTCGACACATCATAAGCATGAAATAATCTTTTTAAAACGCAAGAGTAAATACATGTCGTTCTATAAACTCCGTCCATAAAGAGAAACATATCCACCATTTTTTTCTAATTCTTTCTTTCTTTCTTTATGCCTTTGTGTGTGTTGACGAGAGAGTAGTTCATTGTAATAGTCAACGAATGATAATGAAAACAGAAATACAAGAACATGTAAACACATGTGTGCAGATTGAAACACATCAGAAACTATACGTAGCCTTTAAACTTAAATATGGCGTTGCTAACAACGAGCGAAACCATGACATTGTTCAAAGTTCAAAAAAATTTCAAAAGACACGTTGCACATGGCGCAGCCCTGAAGACTGTGAGCTATCTATCTATCATCCTACCACTACACGCTCCTTATATTATGATAATTCTGATAGTAAATAATAAAATATGAAAACAGAACGTTTCGTGGAACTCTTTTAGTTTCTGTTTAATTCTAAAACTTCCACTAACAAATTGCTTTCTTTCAAAAACGAAAAAATGCCCGAAATAAGCACTTTTTCTACCTATGCTCAGCTCATATAATAGTATATGCAGTACGTGCTGTAGCATGGCAACTTAAGGAAAAAAATAAAAATCTTAGTTAGTGAACCTAACTGAGAAATTATATTTATAGACTACTGCACATTTCTCCCTAGGCTAGGGTCGTACGCAAGTCACGTTCTGTATACAACGTGCGCGTGCGTCAAGTGTATTTACTGTACAAAATCCATATCATGCGTGTAATGCGCACCATGTACTATTTTTAGAGATTTATCATAGATGTCAGATAAACATGTTGATATGGAACCGTAGAGAGAAATCATGTCACGTTCGTTACACGTGTCAACAGTGATGGAGGTCAAGCGTATGTGACGTACAGAGTGTGACCTGGCTTATGAACGGTCAATTTTGAGAAAAAGAAGAACGGAGAGGATTTTCTAAAATTTTTTCCGAGGACTAGTGTTGAAAAGCGGGCAGAAAAATGAGAATCTTCCTCGATCTAAAAGTGTATTGAAGGTCGCTATATAATTCTTTCATTATATCAAGCACTACAGTATATATTCACTATGAAGTGAATCACGTGACAAGTAATTATCTCATAGGAAAAACGATAGAGTTGTCTAAAGAATATACTCATTTTGTGACACTGATTATAGGATAACTATAGCAAACATCCGAAAACTAACTTCAGATGTGTCGTCTACGATCTCCGCACTTTCACATCATCGTTTTCCTAAATCTGTACGGTCAGAAATAACTGAGAACATTTTAATGCATTTTATCGGTAATGTTCCAGACTATAAATGCATCACAGAGTATAGACTGATAAGTAGCACGTGTTTACTTAATGAGTCACTGAACACTGTTTATTCTGAATGTATATGAAGTGTGACGTGACAATTAATTATCTCATAGAAAAGTTATTGAGAATATATAAAAGTGCTAAAACTCAGGCATTTTTGTAACAAAATCATCGAAAAACAGGAAAAATGACGGGAAACGAGGAAAAAGCGGGTGGGTTCTGAAAAAAAGAAGATCAATCAGTCCAGAGTGTGACGCACACGTGGAAAAGTCGTAGCGCCCGACCTGTGTCTACAGAATCTTTCAGGATCCGCCGAGGCTATTTTCAGTAACGTGATAAATTCAGGACTGACAACCGATGGCGTCAAACAAACCGTTGGATTACAGGAATTTCTTTTTTGTTCCAAATGAGGACAAAATTCTCTTCTGTCTCATCTAGTTGTGTTTGCTGGAAACGCAGAGCTCGTGGATAGTATAAGGGATACGAAGACAATAAGAAAGTACTATGGTCACTAAATACGATAATGACAGATGTTTAGAATGAAGGTGTTAGACGGATATTGGTATAATAACTCGTTTGCTGATTAAATAAAACAAATGATGGAAGGAAATTGGAGAATAATTTCATGAGAACTGGTATAAAGCAAAAATATGATTAACTTCATTCGGTATAAGTCTCAAGTCAAAATTTTTCCATGGAATCTGCGTAGAAAACTTCACGTGAGTCCTATGAAAATGGACTTTTCTTCAAAAAAATTTTAAAGACGTCAGTTTGTCCAATTACTGAGTTTAAATCTCATTCAAGTTCGAATGACAAAAATGTAGACTACAGAATAACGATTTTATTAAATAATCACCATTTTAGCTAAAATGGAGCATATAAAAAATTCTATCTAAGGACAAAAAAGGTTTTGTAGAAAATATCAAAAAGATCATTCCATAAGAAACATTTCCAGAAAAAGACTAGTTTATAATAATAATAATAAATATTTGCTGAATTAATGCCAGTTATCCGTTTGACTGATGAGCACTGTGTTCATTTCATTCAAGTACACCGCTATCTTTGATAACAGTTTTTTTCGATGGTTTTCCGCTTTGAGAGCCTAAAATAAAATGAAGTTATTCATGCAAAGCACTATACAAAACAATTTTTATTTACTACCTAATTGTTCTAGTTTCCTAACGACATCCATTCCGTCTATTACTTCACCGAAAACAACCTACAAGAAATATGTAGTAGTATACAAAAACTAGAAAATAGATAATTCTAATCTTTGAGTGCTCGACTTACGTGTTTACCATCTAGCCAAGGAGTGGTCACAGTTGTTATGAAAAACTGGGATCCTTAAAGATTAATATTAATTATAAAGTGAACATACTTGGCCATGCAAATATTTCACCGTTCGTATTTGGTCCAGCATTAGCCATAGATAATAAACCTTCTTTTGAATGCTTTAATTGAAAATTTTCATCGGCAAATTTGTTTCCGTAAATACTTTTGCCACCGGTACCATTATGATTCGTAAAATCTCCACCTTGTAACATAAATTGCGGTATTATTCTATGAAATGACGAATTTTTGTATCCGAATCCTTTTTCACCTGTACAGAGTGCACGAAAATTCTCTAACAAAACAAAAATACATAATAGCATTAAATAAAATCCTCAAAAAGCTCATACCAGCTGTTTTTGGTACAACATCATTGTAAAGCTAAAAGATAAAAGATGAAATGACAATGTTTTAAATAAAAAATAAACTTAGCACATACCTGAAATGTAATACGTCCAAGTGGAGAGTCATCAATACTCACATCGAAAAAACATTTGGTTCTACTCATATCTTTGCTTGAAGATATTTGCCTCAAGTACAATAAATCTGAAAATGAAAAAAAAACGCTTAGATGTATAGAAAGATTTTATAATACAAGAGCCTTCATGGGAAACCGAGTAAAGGAAATGCTTTCTAATAAATAACGTTTCGTGTATGTCTATTTCAAATCTGAGCAATTTCTACACGTAAACAAATTACTAATCACACTGTAAATAAAAAGACAACTGTACAATTTTTACTAATATTCGTTGAATAGCTGCTCTTGGGAAGATAATCATGAATTGAAAAATATATACACAAGCTTAAATGAATTATCTACAACTTAATATATATGTTATACAAGAGTATAAAAATTATAAACATAATCCATAAAAAGCAAGGCAAATACATAAAAAAGAAAAGAAAAATAATTTTGTTTTCTATTGTCACAATTCATTATTAATGAGAGCAATAAAACGAAGCATATTCGAGTAACACACTCGATTATTATTCACTTATTATTATCTGATAACAGAAAAATTTTCAAAATGAAAAGAGTAAATATCTGAGATTTAAATGGTACGGTTTACTTTTTCAGTATCTCTAATAAACAAAACTTATAGATCTGTTCAAATTTTCACTAAACTAAAAAGAAAATTAATTATTATATATCTGATTATTTAAAAACGTATTTATAAATACAATATACAGAAAAAAAAATGAGAATCGATGTATATTGAGATACTCATACGAATTTTATATGATCTGACAAAAGAAATGTAAATAAATGGCACGCTAATTTGAGCGAGGAATACATGTTGCACAATGACTAAGAAGAAGCAGAAGGTTTCTATTCTATAAAGTAAAAAAAGAAATAAGCATTTATAAGTCTGTGTCAAACCAAGCAGCCACTTGGGCGGGAGCAGGATGATGATCATCATTTTGTATATTAACTGAAGATAATGGAGATACTTGTATTTCCCTATCTGAGTCAATACCAAGACCAGCTTCGCTTGAATAATAATTCATAATGGAAGGTTCATGAATTTGTTGCTGTTGCATTGGAGGAGGCGTATTCCGATAAGCATTTGAATAAGCTGATCCATTTGTCACATTGTTTTGTCCATAATACTACAGAAAAAATAATTTTCTTCCGATGTTTGCTTTCTCAAGTTTGAGAAAATACTTACATTATTCATCATCTGATCGTCTCGATACAAGGCTGATGTTACATCATTCGATAAACGCTTTTTCATGTCATTCGGTTTATCTTCAGATAATCGAAATAATATTGCAGCTGCATAGGTTGCTAAAAAAATGAATAAATTCTAAATATGCATATCTATGACTATTACTCTAAAAAGACGTAAACACGACAAATCGATGCCAGTATAAACACTAAATCAAGATACATACCAACACCTTCATCATTTGATTTAAGTAACTCCGTTAGTTTTTGCGTAGGATTTTGCTGTTCAATAATCTCAGCACAAACACGATCATTAACCAACTCACATAGCACACCAGCAGCTGCACGTTGAATCAAAACTGATGGTAAATATAATAACTGAAAAAAGATATCATATTCTTTTCATATTTTCTTTGTAGAAAAAAATAATACATACTCGAACAAAAAGTGGTATACAATCGAGATCACGTATAATAATTCGATTTGATGGATCTTTTGCTATAATATGTAATGCACCGACTGATGCTTCTAATATATCAGAAAAAGATACGTTATTATTATTATTGCTGTCCATTTTCGATGCTTGTCGTTGTAACTCTTGATGCGAACGAATAAGAAGCTGAGCTAATTTTGGTATAGAATCATTTTCACGTAATACAATTAAATTGTTTGGCGATAAGGCTAAATTTCGAATTAAACTTATTGTTGATTTAATAATAGGCCAGCTATATTTAGTTGGATTGAGCAATCGAATAATAACCGATATACCATTGATATCGCGAACAAAGTTTTGCGCATCACTAGCATGTGGATGACGCGATGTTATATGGCGTAATGCACATATCTGAAAGCAGAAAAACAACTGTGTAGAGTAATAAAAATAAACTGAAACTGTAACACTTACAGCTGGTTCAATTATTTCTTCTTTATCATCAGCTTGAATAATTGTATTAATCAACGTTTCGATACCGTTATATTGGACAACAGCCATTTTATTAAATTGATTATTACATGTTAGATTTGATAGGACACCCACTGCACAAGAGACAGTCACAAAATCAGTTGATGATAACAATTGAATTAAGGTATGAAGCAACGTTTCCATTCCTTCCTAGAACAAAATAAACAGCTAACGACCTATAGAAATCTTCACTTTATGTTTTAATGTCTCAATAATCAGAAGAACTTAATCTCGTTCTCTATTCTCAAAGGATGAGAAACGGTTTCTGCAAGAATATGGTTCAAAAATGTTTCAACCGCTCACAGCATTCATTTAGCTGGCGTGGTTGACAAAAAGGTCAAAAAAAGAAAAAGCTCACACTTTTGTCACGTACTTTAAGCAACAATCATCATACTTATATAGTATTTAGTGGAGAAATGTATGAAGGCATACATTTACAAGAATCTAATGTATTTCAGTTTGAAGCTCGTTATCTCCTGCATTTTCTTGTATGAAAATCATTCCGAATCTCGGTATGTTTACAACACTGTACTACATTCACTGCTATCTCATAGATCAAAATCACTGTATCCGTTCGGTATTTTGCCAATAAGTCTATTAAACCTAAGGTTTGAAACAACGTACTATAGCTTATTTTGTAGCTCTTCAATTCTGCATTTTTCTAAATACAAACTATTCCTAATTTCTATTTGTGAAAGGAACTGTAAACATTTTTATATATCACAATGGATAAAAATCGAGATATCTAGCCAATAAATCTATGAGGACAAACTTTCACAACAAAATATTGTAGCTCATTTTGAAGCCCGAAAAATTATATCTTTCTATGTATGGTGACGAGAAATAATTTTTTCAAAGAGATCAGAAACAATTTTTGAAAGTCAGAAGTGTTGGGAAGTGACCAGGGAAGCATTTCTGGTCATTTTCACTCAAAATCGTATTGGATCATTTTCTTGCAGAAACCGTTTCTCGTCCTTTGTTGTCTAAAAAGTTCACTTTTCCTGTCAGTGGGTAGAGTTTCTATTCCAGCTAAACGTGATCAGAGTGAGGTACATTTATAGTGATTACTACCCACCGTTTTTATAGCTTGATCGGATAGATTTCTTAAAATTTGTAAACAATTTTGTTGAACACGTAGACTAGCGGTATTATAAACATATTTTTCAAATATTTTGATACCATTTTTTTGTATAATTAATGTTTTAATCGACGTACACACCGATAACACTCTTAGAAGGCGTGTTGTTGTCCATAATAATTTTTCATAGTCGGTAAATTCCATAATTTTCAATAATTGTTGGGGTCCATTACTCGATTCAATAATAAGCTGAAATGAATATGAAAATATCGAGTAAATCGAACAAACTTGAGTAAAAAATATTAAGTAGCGTAACTAACGCAAATAATACAGCTAAATATATCTAAAAATAAGAGCATAAAGAGCCAAACCACTTATCAAAACAGAGACAGCTCCAATAATGAGATATGCGTGTCCTTACCTTGTAGAAACGGACACATGTCTTGCTAGAAAATGATCGTTTTTTGAATCATGATGCAACTACAGGAATTGGATAAAATTCGGGTGCATAGGTCAAGAGTGGTTAGGGATACATCGATCATGAGCAACTATTGTGTGGAGTGATTTATCTAGTGGGTAGGCCGGAGGGGCGGCGTCCATCCAGAGATAAACAGTTGATTTCGTTTTTAGCAAAATTTTTTCAGTCAACAGCCCCTCCAAAAATTTCAATCGCTCAATAATATATTTTTTGTTCCCAACACTTGTTGAAAAAATGCAAAGAAAAAAGTTATTTTTGAAATATGACGGTTTTTCAAATGTTCAAGATCCTGGGTACAAGATATCAAGAAATATCTGTACCAAAGGTCTTGCTTAAGATCTTGGGTGCAAAAATGTCTTGAGATCTTGTACGCATTTTTTCAAGATCTAGTGCCAAATCCTAACGTAAGTTCTTGGGCAAGATGTTGGACTAGGGCGTGCATCACTAAATCCTGACACGGTTGAGGATATCTTGTTAGTTAGATCAGTTCAGAAAATACTTGAACAAAAACCAAATTTTTTTACTCAGATATATTGTTTAATTATCTATCACTTTTCTTTTTATCTTATGTTACTATTATTTGTACATTTTGTTTATTAAAAAAATAGTCAGACTTCTACACACCAGGCCAGGGTAAGCCGAGAGTAATGGCAGGCAGACAGGCAAGGCCCAGAAAATATATCGACAGGCCCAGGCAGATCTAAACATTACAGGCCCGCCGCATGCAGACCAGGTCTCAAAAGTGTCGGCCTGTTTCGAGCCCTGGTGCTTTACAACTTTCGAGAAATCAGAAAAGTGACAAAAATTCTGCCATCGAACTATCTTTCTTGATGTTAAAGACATTAGCTAGCGAGAGTTCCTTCTTTGCTTTACCTTAACTTCTTGATTGTTAAATGCCAACATATGTAAACAATCCGTGACAATTGCCAAAAATTTTTGATTAGAATTATTTAATAATGAAACCATTTTATGACAACCTCCGCATCGAAGTATTTCTGTTTTAGCTTGTTCGATGTATAAGAGAAGATTATGTAATGCTGACATCGCATAATTGACAACAACTTCTATCGGTGAACTACAATAACAGAATAATAGTAGTAAATAAATTTAGAAAATGTTATTTGCAGTTTTCTCACTCGAGTAGTTTAACCAATGCGGGTATTCCTCCTGATTTAAATATACAAAAGAGACCTTGTTTTTGTTGTGCAAGACATTGAAATATTCCAGCAACACCACGTTTTGTTTCATCGTTTGCTTTTGAATTTGAGACGGCACGGATCAATGCATTAATAAGCTGAAATAATGTTTTACAGCGCAAAAATAATAGTTAAACAGATTGGAAAAATGAGCGCTTACTTGCGGATTAGTCAAAGCCATGCGACTAGCCTCTTTTTTCGCTAAAGTATGTATGACCAGCGCTACTTGTCCGACAACAATTGGATCTTCATCACTAAGTAGTCTGATTAATTCCGGTATAGCTTTTTCCGCTATTTCAGCATCTTCTTTATAATTGATTATGTCAACAACAGCATTTTTTAATTGCTGTGATGGTTCAGATAATTTTTGAACAGCTGAAAACAAATAAACAAAAATGTCAGATGTTTTTTAGTATAACATGATCGCAACAAACTTTCTCTTTCTACCTGTAGGCAAATTAGTTATATAATGTGTCGAAGATGGAACATCCATGGCTGGATCTTCTAACGCTTCAGGAAACATAGCAGCACGTATACGTTGTGCGCGCGTAGAACTCAATTGTTGATTCATATTATCAATTTGGTCTTGTGTATACTCGATTAAAGATATTGGTTGTTGATCAAAACTCATCCCACCTCGATATGGCATTGAACTCGAATGCATATCAGAATCATGATAATGATTATTTTGACTATGCATCCACATAGCGGTTTGATCTTTTTCGGTCATTTGAGGCATATGTAGTTAACTGTTCGTAAACCACAATAGTCTAAAACAGTACAATAAATATGGATTAGAAAAAATGTCGCTTACCATGGAGGCTATACAAAAAAAAGTATTCCTTTTTAAAATATCCTCGTACAAAATGGCAAAATCTAACCTCAAATGAAGCCTTTTTCCAGGCAGAACGTTGAAAATAGACACTGTCGGAACCAGTGTTTTTTATCTGAACTTTTATTTACTGTTAGACTAAACCAAAATGAATGTATAGTATCATAGAAAAACTGTACGAAATCACAAAAAAAAATTTGTTTTCAGGCCCGGTCCTGGCCATATCTAGTTTAAAGTCAGCATAGTTACTATTACCGGCATTGCTTTAAATTAGAAAATATGTTTAGACTGGTGGCGTAGCCACCAAGTGGGCTCAGCCCACTTGAAGAAGAGAAAACTTGAGAAAATTTCTTATATTTCTACCACTTTGAAAAAATTTGGGATAACGCCCATCCACTAACAAAGTCCTAGCTACGCCACTAGTTTAGACCTCTGGAGAATGTTTCATAAAAATTCTTAAGGGCTCGACTTAAGTCAGACTTAAATGTATAAAATTAACACGTAAGTGTACAAAACGAAGATTTAAGTCTAGACTTAGTTACGTCAAGCACTTAATAATTTTTATGAAACACCTCCTGGGGATCTTTTGTAGGTCTCGAAAAAACTTCTTAGATTTATATTAGATAACGAAGATTAGACATCAAATCAGAGAAAAGTTCATAACATATTTTGAATAGTCCCCTAGGAAATACCGCCCGAAGGGCGATATGAGCGTTACCGGGCGAAAGGGATCGAGCGTTATCTTGTTAACAGAGATCGGCGAGTACGGGTATACTCGTGTTCAGTACTCGTACTCGGAACTGTTTTTTACGAGTACTTAAAAATGTATTCAAGTATTTTCGAGTATTTGAAATTTTTCTATTATTATGCTTCACAAAGAATTTTTGGCCTTCCAAATTGAATAAATGTGATTATTGCAGACACAGAAAAACTGCTTTAGATTCTTTTTCTCTCTGACTCTCAGTTATATGCTAGGTTTTTGTGTGTTCTGAAGTCTCTTTCCCTTTCTTTTTGTATCGTTCTCTTGGTCACTAGAAGAGACTATCAGATAAGAAGACACATGTGAACTGCAAAAGAAGATAGAAAGGAAACAGAGACTTCTTATCTCTTCCTGTAGAAGAAAATAACTCGGAAAAGAAAAAAGTGAATTGTGTCTTTTCTTTTTTTGTTGAAAAGTATAAAGAAAAAGCTTATTTGATCATATTTTAACGAAATATCAATCATCTATCAAAATTAACTCTACAACATTTTACTGTCCCTGCAACATCGGCACCAACAGAAGCGAATTTTTCTCAAAGCGGCTTATCATCCGCCCACATTGTTCAAAGTTATTAGCATCAACATTATACATATTAACATTTTTAAAATGTAATAATGATCTTCTAGGATAATGTTTCATTCTTGTGTGTTCAGATAGAGTAAAACAAATGAATAATAAACAGTAAAATAAAAAAACTAAGACTAGACCCTAACATAACTCTCCTTCAACTGATAACCAGAAAGGTATTAAAAATGGCTATCGTTAGTGTAGGGAGCTAAAACTTTTTTTATGAGTATCTTCTTCTTTTTAGAAAATACTCGTACCCGTACTCATAGTCGATACCCAGTACTCGTGCTCGTACTCGAGAATCTGCGTACTCGCCAATCTCTGCTTTGCTTGTTAACTCATATATTTATTTATTCCGGTCAACAGCCATTATTATCGAAAAGTGGTGCCGTTCCCATTATCTTATTGGACGCCAAGAAATAACAAAGAATTTTTAAACTAGCATGAGAAACGTCATAACAATTACATAAAAATGAATATATTAGTAGCTTTTTCTATTATAAAAACAATATTTTCGCATGTACACGACAAGACAACTAATCATAGTTGTCGGTAACTTCAGGTCGCTACATTTTATAACCAACCACACAAAGAACAGATTTATATTTTCTAAAGCAAATAGTCATGTCATCGATAGAAAAATGAAGTTTATTTAAAGTCGATAAAGTGCTTTTTTCTATTCAGCACACTCTACTCGATAACCTTAAAGATTTTCTATTCTTGGCGAGGGAAGCTGCCAAAAGTTCAAGACAAATTTTGAAACGAATATTATTTTCCATAGAAAGTTTTTTCACCATTTTGTTCGAAAAATTTCCTTACTTTTGGCAGTATCTCTCGCCAAGAGTAAAAAATCTTCAAGATTATCCAGTGTGCTGAATATGAAAAAGCACTTTTCCGCGACTCTAAAAGAATTTCATTTTTCTGTCGATGATATGAGGCTTGAATATAATTTTCGTATGAATCTTTTTCTTAAAGCTTAAGAAAGTAACACAGTTTTTAGAGAGAAATAGCTAATTATCGTCAAACAGCTTCATATCAAATATACCGAAAATCTGCGTGATTGTCCTCTAAGATCCCCGTACATATCATCCTTCAGGAAATCTGAAAAGGTGTGTCTTTTGCCAATGATTGTAAGCTTTCGCATAATACTCACAAACGCAGGAATACATGAAGTCGGAAATTTCGAGGAAAATTAATGAAGTTCACGCAAAAGCTTTAAATTGTTGCTCAGTTTTGTGGATTATTTAGGAATGTGTTTCGCGAAAACTGGCTAGGGTTCTCGACAACAAGCCCAATGTAAGTGAAATAATGCGAAAATAAAATGCGAGTTAACTCACACATGATTTCTAATATTGGGACAGAATTTTTTCCTGTGTCTTTTTACTACACTCTAAAAAATAGTCGTAGATCAATAAACTATCAAAAAGGGTTACAGATGCAAAATGAAAAACGGGCGGTTTTTTATCAAAAATAAAAGACCCTTTTCAGTTTTTTGTCGAAACTAAAATACCAGCTAAAAAGCTCTTATAAAATTTTGAGTTTGGCATTTCTTGGAGTCGTGTGCCATAGTCAGGAGGAAATCCCTTGGCGTTGTGAGTTATGCTTTGGGTAAAAACTGGATTCTGGTGATGGAATTCTCGAAAAGGAAGCTAGTTACGCGTTTTTTGTTCATAATGTTTTACTACCGATTTCTTCGAGAACAGGTGAAACAGTTCACAAAAGGGGCGACAGTCTTGCTCAAATTTGCCATTATATATATAATTTTATATTTTCTAATTCAAGATCAACTCTTGCACGTCATTAAATCAAGAAGCAAAGCACACCATAAAATTGAGATTAAAATTTGAGATAAAAATGAGATTTAGCTCGTCCGACTTTAAAAGTAAGGTTCTCAGATCAAAATTTTTTCTTAGATACCTAAAAAATTAAAAATATGTTAGACACAGAATAAGTTGTGCTCTGTTTACCAACAGAAGTCCCAGAAAGTGCTTTTTCATATTCAGCACACTGGATACACCAGAAGATTTTCTATCTTTGGCAAGATACGGCCGAAAATTTAAGCAAAATTTTAAAACTAATAATACTTTCCATGGAAACATTTTTCCTCTCCCCAACTCAACTTTTCTGCTGAAGTCGCTCTAAAGAGTCGCGACAAGATGGAAAAGAACTTTTTCACAAGATGAGTCACTACAGTCACATCGTGGCTCGCGATGAGAACCCGAAAAATAGTTGTTTTTATGGTCAAGCATTCCCAGAATTAATGACTTTCGGAAAAAATCGCGTTCGTTCTTGGGAACATGACTCTCTGAGCGAAAACTAAAGTTAAGGAAACAATGAATAAAATTTCTAATGTTTCTTTTGGCCTTTTATGTAATTTCGGCTGAAAAACAAAACGGTGAATGAGTTCTAGATCGTGACTCATGCCATGACTACAGATTTACTTGTGTTTCTCAGCATGATTTTTGGAGTTTAATCGCATCGGGATATTATATAACGACTCCACACAAAATTACAAGACTCGTCCATGATTCTAGCAAAACAACCCGACAAAAATTTCTAACAGGAGTCACGGACAATGTTTTTAAAAAGTTAAAAATTTATGTAGGATCGCACCGTGACACCGTGAGTCATTAGCGATCACGGGAATTACGCCGCGAATACGCGGAATTGACGCGGGAATTGACTTGAGTAGAGTACACCAGAGGTATGGAGGTACGATCTTGGTAATGGATGTTTTCGCTTATGTTTGAACGGTCCATAAAGCTATTTATTCAGTTCTTTTAGCAATTGTTTTCTTTTTAACCAGATGCATTTATTTTTAATAAATCAACATGCCGTACTCTGCACAAACAATGAAATTCTATGAAAGCCTCACAGTACAAAACAAGGACCATCCATCATACATCTTAGTTATCGCTGTCATTTTCTAATAAAATAAGTGAGACGAATGATGGTAAGAGATGCCGGTAAATGTTGAGTGGCGCTTCATCGACACTCAGTTTTGTTGTTGGCGTTTTTACTAGTCTCACTAAACTTAGTAATTCAACCATTCCAATAGTGTCCTCAATTGATGTTTTCAAACGATCAATTTTACCCATTTTTGTTAAACTTGGATCTCTAGCTAATTGTATTAATAGCGTGAGACTATCATGCACGTTCTCTTCTTCTGGTTCTTCTGCAGTATTAATATTTGTTGATGGATTTGGTTGCAATTGAAGATTTTTCAACAATGTATTCACTGAACTTCGGCTCAGTGAACGATGACCAGGATTTCGTCGTTGACTTCTTCGTTGTTCATGGTAACTACTTCCATTATTTATGGAGTCGGCACACGAGTACTCGGAAAATTCGGAAAAACTTTCCAGGTCAAAACTGTGTCGCTTGTTGTTGTTGTTGTAAGCATCTAATACATGAATTGGCTCAACTAATTCCTATTAATACACAAGAAAAAACAAATTATGGAAAAACGGCTGCTATTCCTAGTAAAACTTCTTGTAACCAAGATCTTTCATTTTTTCAGTAAGATCTTGACCAAACATCTCGGTAAGGAGAAATTCCAAGAATCCAAGATCTTCAACATCTTGAAGCAAGAGCTTGATAATTCTCGAATCACCGTTTTGTTTCACACTCTTGCTTATATATAACTGCGGAAAACTTCCTGGTGTTTTTTCCAAGATCTTGTAACATTTGTTAACCAAAGATCTTGGCTACAAGAAGTTTCACTGGGAATATATACTGTTCGGACCTGTTTGATCGGTTCAATATCAAATTTCGGCTCTGCACTTATTGTATGATCGGCTATCTCTGAAATCTCATGATAACCTTGCGGAAAACATGATTCTTTTGGTGTGAAGGCAGAGGACACTTCTCTGGCACTATCGCATGGCCACTCTAAAAAGAAAATAGACATGGCACTTTAACATGCGACTAAGAGTGTTAAGCCAAAAAAGATCTACCAAGGATACTTCTAATTGAGGTATCAGAATATTCTAATATAGCGATCAGAGCCCGAAACGAATCAGGCTTTCGGAAACCTGATTCGATTCGAGATAACATTTCTGAAATCAAATCCGGTTCGATTCGATTCAGTTTTTTGCTGATCGAATCGAATGCCAAATGTTTTGAATCGTTTCGGGCTCCGATAGCGAACAGTAGATGTACTGCTTATGGAGCAGTACATCTTTATTTTTCGAATGTTAGATCCTTTCGGACACATATGACTAGTATCTATGCTTGGGGTCGTTGGTGTATCAGCAACATTTACCTATTTCACACAAGATCCGTCCTAGTGTTAGGTTTACAAAAAACTCAGATTCATATAGCGTTTAATTGAAAACAGACAAAGCTGTATTTTTCTTCATTTTGTACAGTCCGATTCGAAACACAGAGTTTCTATAGATATTAACATGTTTTCTGATTGTGAGTCGATATTAAGCATCATCTAATGGTAAACGCACATCCGACTTCTCCACTCCGTCATTATGTTTGATACTCTCTAATAAAAAATCGCAGACTAGAGAAGTCTTTAAAAAGGGGTTTACGAGAGCGAAAGGTTTTTAAAAAGAAAATCCAGGATACTTTCGGAACTTGTTTAAATACTCTATGAAAGTTTGTTAGCCATTTTAAAAATCCTTTTACCATTTTTTAAATTTGGAAAAATGTCACCGCATGGAATCGCTAAGAGTTAACGGCTCAAAACCCCGTCTGGGTATTGAAAAAATAGAAAAGAGTTTTGTAAGATGGCTAACAGGTTTATTTAAAATATCCACAGGGTATTTGAGGACAAAACACAACTGAACCAGTTGAAACGTACAGAAAATAGTCTGTTATTCTTGGTTCGTCTGTTGAGTGAACCCGAAAAGTAAAAACTATCGTTTTATCATACTTGGCATTTTCGGGGAGTTCTAGAAAACCATTTATTCTGGGACGAGAATAAATGTAGGGGTGTCTTCCTGTTCGAGGTATTTAATCTACCCATATGATCCAGTTATAGAAATTTCATGTGGTGAGATTGTATTTTGAGCAAGATATGACTTTTTATTACTGTACGTTCAAAGCCGACGTTATGGCATTTTCTTGCAAAGGCATGTTTACTGGTTTTCTCACTATTTTCGGAAAACAAACATTATCACGACATTCAGAATGATCGATGATGAATGAGCAATAGTATATTAGACAAAATTGAGATGCTGATATATTGCCATTTTAATAGGTAATATTTCTGAAAGAACAATAATGCCCTTTCATGAGTAATAAGTTCTCATGACTGCTGGATTGTGAAAACGAAAATAAATGATCCCGTTCACGAAAGTTTGTATAAAAAACACAAACGATTCCCGCTTTTTAAAGTAAACGTTTTCTAATTTCATCTATACAGGTGTTTCAAGCAAAGAATTTATTTTCTCTTATATACAATTGGTTTAAGATGAGAATAATACATGGCAGTAGTGATTTCTGCTATGAAAATGTGTTTTATGAGGTTAATCTTGGCCTCGAGGACTCTTATTCCCACTATATGAATACACGCTTGACTCTCTTTAGCATCATAATTTACTCCTCCTACTACAAGTGCATCATCGAATTCAGAGAGAAGTTTATGTATGTATGAGTGAAAGTGAAGCTTCTGCCAAGACGAAAGAACAAAATGTATGTAAAAATCACACAGAAACATGAAAATATTTTGTTATTTCCTTTCATATTCTATCACTTGTCTTTGCCTTATCTCGGTTGTTGAATCGAGTCTCGTATTTTAAGTGACTTTGAGAGTTAAATTATCTAGTGTCTCATGAAATCAATGGAAGAGCAGGATTAATGATGTTGAAGAGTGGGCAGTAAAGGTCGACAAGTTAAAAGGTAACAAGAAAATGATAATTTTAAACAAAAATTTTCGGACAGACTGGTGAATAGTATCTGAAAATGAGGCACATTTAGATGTGAGATCCGTTTTGAGGTTGGGAATAGTGAAGATCATTCTTGCACTACTTAAATGATGACAAATAAAGCTAATTAATTAATTCTCCATTCATGGTTCTAACTTCAAAGATAAAAACCAACATTTTTTTCAATAATTCTTTGTCTTTCTCTTTCAATTATATATTTTTAGTAAATAGTTAAGCTATTCTTTATTTTGCACAAATTCTCTTATTTTTTAAATATCTGTTCATCATGGTTGAATTTACTAATTCAATCATCAAGTTTAACATATCAAAAATTTTAATTATCTTAAGAAATCACATTTCATCATGAAAAATTTTTATTACAAAAAACATTCTTTTCTTTTTTAAATTTAAGTTCTATTACATATGATTAATGTCTACAACTCTTATTTAGTGATAAATCTGTAGGAAAATCCCATTTATTCACTCAGAAAATAACTACAAATTATTAATAATCACATATAATCAGCTCATCATTAACTAAACAATTAGGACATAATACATAGTCAAACATGTATATAGAAATTACGAAAGATGAAAAGAACGAGAGCGTTTTTATCCAAAAAAAGAAATTTAAATTGTTCTTCCTAAAAGTTTTATTTGTTTTCATTGAATTATTATTTACAGCATTAAATATGTCTAGATAAACCAAAACTTTGTCCGGTTTGATTCGCACCTTTATTCATGCCTTCGTTTAGAAGGCCAATCATGCCATCTCCAGCACGTAGTTGTTCATTGGTAAATTGTCGTTCATTTTTATCCGACAGTTTAACACCCAATGCTGGGCCTTTGAAATTCTTCTTTTGTGCCTAAATTAAACAATAGTTAATACACGTTTCTTTTTCTTTTTCTTAAGGCAACTAATTTACCTGTCGTCCAAGTGCATGAATGGCTAGTGTTACTTGGGCGATGTTACGTTTTTCAAATAAATCAACTGTTTGAAAAAGTTCAGAATCGGCTACTCCATAGGATCGAGCAGCATTTTCTAAGTCATTACAAAAATATATAAAGTTGAAAAAAAAATTTCCTAAGAGAACTTACGAAAAGCGGCCACATTTTCTCGTAGTTTGAAGGCACCACCTGATGTTGCAATTTTAGGAATCGAATTAGGTGATAATTTGTTCATCAATCTTGATTAAAAGTAAGATGCAGAAAGTGAAAAAACTATGCAGAGTTTTTAAAACTAGATAACTAGTCATCTTACTTGCATAGAATAATTCCGTCCTTTAACGCATCCTCATAAGATATATCACTCGGAAACTTTTCACCCGAAACAGATTCTATCCATGCTTGCGCTTCTTGATCAAGATCAGTGCTTCGTTTAGCAGCCATCTAAACAAAGTTGAAAAATTTTGATGAACTCATATTACCTTTCTATTACTTATTTTACACCTTTTTATTCGCATCACGTGATATCCCAAAGTTCATAGTTGTCAAAATGTTTTAAGGGAAAAATAATGTATGCATATGATTGACCCTGTCAAGTTTATATATTGCAAGTTAATGTACAAGTAATTATAAGATAAAACGTATGTTTTCTTTTTTTTGTAGTTTGTATAAGGAAATACTATAACCATTCTATTAATCATGTTTTCTCAACTGTACACTTCTTTTTTCAGTTGGAATGCAGAAGTGATGAATATCCATTCGAAAGCGATAAGTCTCATCTCTTCTTTCTTTCAAATTAATATATGCAGGCGATTTTTCTTCCAGAAGTATAACGTCTATTTATACAAGAAAGTTTTAATGACGATGGTGACATGACGTAGGTTTATAGTAATGATTATTATATATCTTTTTTGTTTTGTTAAGGTCATGATATTAGAACATGAACTATATCCGAAATTGTTTCTTTTTTTCTCATATTATTATGTCATATAGAGTAACACTACATCTGTTGTTTTTTTCTGTTTACTAAAACCTTCATCCTTTGCGTACGCTGAGTGTATTCACTTCTTAAAATAGATTATCATATGTTCGAATACGTACTTGTCCTTGATTTTCAGCTAATGAGCTGTAGGCCGGACCATAGTTAGCCATAATTCTATTCTATGTATCTTTTAACTTATTGTCAGCGATAACCTCTTAAAAAACTCAGAAAACCAGAAGAAGGAATAGGTGCACTTGTGACCGAAAGTGAATACTTAGTGTTTCCCTTAACTAGCATCACCACGCAGAGTCAAAAAAAATCTATTTTAAACTCTAAAAAAAAGATTTTGCGTAAAGAATCAAACACACAATGTCAGCAGAATCGTAATTTATATCCACTGTTAAACGGGAATACACAATGACATCGAATAAAAAAGAATTTTCCTATACTCTACTTTCTTCTCTTTTTTTGTTGAACAGTCACAAAAGCACGCATACGTTTTGGAAAAAAAATCTTTTATAATACAGTAGAAGTTCAAAACTAGTTTTGGCATACGTGTAGGAAAAAATCTTATGTAATCCTTAACTCTAACAATATATCTTTTGTGACTCATATGACATTTTAGAAGTTATGTTCTACTTTTCGTTAACACAGATAGAGATGTATGATTATTAATCATATTTGTTTCATACACGAGATCAAGAAGTTTTCTATTATTATAAGGTCAGTTGATATCGCCATGTCTTATTTTGACCCAACTTATTGCTATGATTATTAATCTAATCGAAATTATTTTGAGCTTTTTTTCCTACAGTCGAATAAAAAACAGAAACAAATCTAATTATATCACTCTAACTCTCAACTGACAAACTACAATCATCAAATTTGCACACACAAAGAGGGGGAATACAAGCAAATCTGTAATTTGCAACACATATTTTGTGCACTTCAATTTTTAATTATACAATGTCGTGATGTAACCCATACTAGTGTATTCAGTTATATTTTTGTTTTTGTTTGATATAATTGAAATCTGACTCTGTACTTATCTACAACTTTTATCAGTTCATACTTCTCGCAAAACTCAAGGTCAAAGACTCTGTTGTCAAGATGTTGTTTTTCGAAATTAATATTATACCTATAGAAACATCTTCTAACCAAGATCTTAGTCTTAATAAGAAAAGACTAGAAGAATTCGATACATTTCGGCAAGTCAAGATCTTGAAACTTTTTTACCGCTTGTACGATCTTAAAATAATTTCATGAATTGTCCTTTTCCTTTACATTCTTGTTAATGTAAGTGGAAACATATATACTTATAGTAACCTCGTATTTCCTCTTTTATGAGTATATCCGATTGTTGGAGAAAGATTATATGTTTGATGGCTGTGACTGTCATATACGGAAATAAAATGAAAAAGTACTTTCGATCTTTGGCCTAAACATCTTTTACCAAGGTCTTAACTGTTTCTTTTTCTAATCTAGTGATATTTCTTCATCTAAGATCTTAGATACTAGGAGCTCGACATGAGCAAGGATTCTTAGTTTTTCATTTAGGAGCATAAAGATTAATGTATGCAGGACATGTCCTTCTCTCCTAGGCTTCTCAATCCTTCATAAACTATAATAATTTCCTTTATGCGTTCTCTTTCAGAAATAAATTACACAATTTTATTATTAATATATTGCACAAAGGGTACATCATGGTTCTAATAGAAATAAACATATTCATCAGAGAAAAAGCTATTTACTCAACAATGGTATGACATCATTTGAAATTTATTACTTTTTCCAGATCTCTTATTTTGGATGATTCTGGAGATTTTTTGCTGGCTAATGTATTATTCATAAAGAAAGAGATTATAGTTGAAAACAATCCATAATACACTATTTTCTGAAGTACTAGCTTACGCAGAAAGAAAGCGTGAAAGCTAATACTCTAATGAACGTTGGAAATGAACCTCTAAAAAAGATTAGTCAAGAAGCAGGATTGTCCCTTGTCTCTGAAATATTTTAGATGAAGCAGTATAGTGTTGTTGAAGTAAAATATTTTTCCTTCTAAAGTCGAAGGTCTATGTTTTAAAAAGAAAAATAATAGACTATGTATGAGATAAATAATTTTAATGGCTTCGTATTATCAAAATAAACATGAAATGGTATTCATTGTGGATTAATTTGTTACTCTTCATTCAAGATGTAAAACAAATATATGAAAAATTGATGATTTTATTATGTTTAGATGAGTTCGGCAGAATTATCTTTATTATTCTTCGATATACTAGCGGTAAGATGCGAATATCTACCCATCAACTTTAATTAACAGTTGTAATAATAAATTTAAAAAAAAAATAAAATTTTATGAGTAAACAACCATGCAAGTACTCAAACCGTGCTTAATAATGTACATGCATTATTCAACTACCTTTCTCTTGAGCTCAATGTCCATTCCATAGGTCGGCATTTCTTAGCAAAGAATTGATTCTGTCGAATACTCTAGTATATCAAAAATAATATTCGTGTGATTGTATATATATATGTGTATGTGTATGTGTATGTGTGTGTGCGTTACATCTCATCCATTAAGTGCTATGAATAATCAATAGATAGAGGTTAAAAGTAATAAAAGCGTCTCGCTAATAGTGATTCGTTAAAATATTTGTAGATATTTATTTATTTATAACAGTGCATGTACAGATTTTAGGACAAATAAACATGTAAATTTACTTTTTTTTGCAAAAACAATTTATATGGAGTATACTAGTGCAAATAATTTTAACAAACAAGTAATATGAGAACAAAACAGGAACTATTTTATTAATTAGAGCACGCTATATGGATCAGTTCGACAGATAAAAAGAAAATAAAACAGAGAGAGAGGGAGAGAGAAGTAGAGATATGTAGTGGTGCCAATCAATAGTATTGGATAAGACTTCTCTAGTCTGTATGCAATCTTCGTACCCCTCATAAAAAGAAAATATACGAATATGTGCATAAAGTAAACCAGTTAGCAAATAGTCAACATTCTCTTCTTTTTCTTGTAGTCATAAAATATTTTTCATCTTCTGTAACTCTTTCTTCAATTGTACATATACAAAAACTCGATATGTTTTGTACCTCTGACATCGTCAGCTATAGAACAAAATTTTTATCCTATTATACCACAAACTGAACAGTATGATAAGATAAATATAATGTCTGTTGATCGTAAGAGATTTGATGATAACATAGTTGTTATCAGTTAAACTTATCATAAGTTTGTAATGTACAATGTTTAGAATGTAAGATTTAATTGAACTTGTAATGCATTGAACTACACATCAGAATTACATAAAATATATCATTTAATTGTGAAGATTAAACAAGATGAAACAGTGAAGAAAGTCAAAACAAAAGATAAGCCCTAGCATTTCAACTGATCAGACGGCTTATTCTCATTCGCTCGTCTACTTCCGCGAGAAGGTATGGTACTGCTTTAGTTACTTGGTTGCTAATGTGTGGTGGTGGATTCATAGACGATATTGTCCTTGAGAAGAAAATAACCAAATTCGAGTTAATGTTAATGGTAGTGCTTCTACACTATTACTGCAGCTACTTGAGGTTCGTATATGCATCACGCTGATATAATTAGAAGTAGGACCAGAAATACAACTTTCGATATATTAATAAACGTTAGATGATAATAGTAATGATTTGGAACTATGACTTGTATTTCCATTTAAAACGTATAAAACACATTAAAAAGTTCATTTAGTACTTGAATATTGTGTGGTAGATTAGAATTTTAATACCAAATTTTTCAATGTTAATAATTGTTCTCTATCATTGATAGTGTATCTTAACAACAAGGCCATTCATATGCGAAATAACATTAGTATTTCAAACATACTTCCTCTCTGGCTTGATCTAAAATAAAGTTTACATATATTTCATCATTTTCATACATTTTCTGCAAGACAACATATTTTTGTCTTCCAATATCAAGTTTCTTCAATCAAGGTATAAAATCTTGTATCAAGTGTGATACGAAGTACCAGTAGATAAGATTTATTCATTGATGAAATGAGTAACCATTTTTTTATTTGTGTCATGCTAACAGGGATGCTTAGTAATAGAAAGTTTTGTTATTATTTGAAGTAATTGTTCGAACGCTTCATTAAGAAGAAGCGGTTGAGAGCATTCACAAAGAAATTACTTAGAAACTTGTTCATTAACAATGGCATTCAGACAGAAAGAAATGCTTATTTAGATAACAGATCAGAACAAACGGTATCTATCTAAGACATTGATTGCATTGTATTCAATTACTGTAAAAAAATCTATCTAGTGAATCTATAGAGTCAACTTCAAGATTATATCCAGTAAACATTACACAGTACTTACCATGTCGAACTTTTTTTAAAATACCTCTTGTAACCGCGGTTACAGTGCAGTGTTCGGCCTACCGCGACCTAACAAAATATCGCGCGGTAACTGTGTCTATTCATTCACCTTTTTGTTTTGCATAAGTGAAGGTATAAAAGAAACCGAGAAAATTTCAAAGAACTTGATTTGTTTCAGATTATAGGCTCTTCGAAGTTGAACTTCGACTCGAGTCAAATTTTCTACAAATATTGGAGGCCAAAGCGCTTAATGATAACAAAAAAAGAAAACAAACTCGACACAAATTCGAGAACAGATTTGTGCGAGATCACTTTGCAGTAACTAAACATGTAAGAAGAAAAATTTTCAAAAAGCAAAAAGGTTTGAAAATGTAAAAGCTTAAAATTTGCAACTTTTTGAAAATCAGTTATATTGTCGACATACAAGGCAAATGTGACTTGCTGGGCCTGTCAGTTCCTTTGCATATAAAGAAAGAGAAAGGTATTGATCAACATTGTTTTGTTTTATTCACTGTTTTCTTCAGAAATCAATAAATTTGCCTCCTTGCTACATTCGCGGTACCAAAAATTTAAAGAAACCCAATAACTTGCTCGAACCAAGCAGGTCTGATTTTAAAAATCGATTAAAAAAGTTTACAGACTAAAAAGTTCAAGGTTTGATAACATTTAGTAGCCATTTCAAAAAATAATAGTCATGAATATTCTGGAATAACTTTTCATAGAAATAAGATAGAGAACTGTTTCGTTATTTTCAAAAGATAGATATCAACACGAATGATTGATTCATCGAA